CGTACCCACTGTATATATATATATATATATATAGTTTAATGTGCATTATATTAAGCGGAAATGAATGGTTATTCTTGGTCACCAAAATAACTAGTTGGTTGAATAAAAATATTTGGACTTTATGTAATAAAATTCCTAAAACCTCAAATTAGCATCAGGTGGCTAGTTATCTAGCCAGATAGCATCAGCTACCAATATTTTTTAAATGGGCTATTACAATTTTGTAATACTGATTATATTCTTTTTAATTTTAAACTAAAACGGCCTGTACTCTGATTTTTCTGTAAATGTAGTGCTTTGTCAGACTGGGGGCATTTTACCCCACCTATGGGGCAAAATGTCCCCGATACAAATTTCTGTAAAAAATCTAATAACGTGAAAACTCTGGACATTTTTCATACTTGATTTATAATTTATGTCATTGTAACTTCAACTATGATAACTGTTCTGTTAACTTTTGTTTCACAGAAAAAAATTACACAGTTCTTAAGGGGGGTTGTTTTCCCCCACTCTACCCTACTACCTTTCATGATCAGGGAGTCCTCCTTTGAGGTGAAGCCAAAATCACCAGAGTCATACCGAATAAACCAAAACTATTTTATCATTTAAAGAAGTGTTCCTTTAATTAAAGACCATTGTTATGCTCTGAAAGTGTAAACTCATTCATGGAATCATGGACTCTTCAAAAGAACATTTCTAATCCAATGCAGATTTGACCTCCCCTCTCAAATGTAACTAAAACACACTTCTCTTCACAGAGAAACTCTATGCACATGAGATACGGCCAAAGGAGAGCAGTCTGTGAAAAACGTGGACTTTAATTCTTTATAGTTATATGGGCAAATAAAATCCTTCACAGTAAACGTTGAATGCACATAGCTTTAAATGTGGAGTAAACAAATCATTGCCCATCAGCACCAAATCCTCATGCCAGCTGTGCAGTGGGTTTGAGAGTCTTAAGTTTTGAGAGTGTTGGGATGTTTACTGCTTCAGGGTTTGAATGACTTGTAGTCATTAACAGACCAATGAATCAGAGTGTCTGCTACTTATAGCATGATTTCAGCCTCTTTAGCCATTCAAGTCATGACTCAAGTCATTAAGAGAATGAAAAGTTGACATAAATGTGTAATAAACATCCCGAGGGCTTCAGATGCAGATAGTTCATGTAGCAGGGCACTGAAGGGTTAGGATGGTTTAACTATGCCACAGAGGAGCCAACTTTGCCTATAGAGGATTCCCATTCAGTCTCTGCGATAATTAACATCTGCTGAACATATCTTGCCTGCTTGTGTTCTTATGTTTGTTCTTCGTAGCACCCTAACATTTTACGAATGATCATAGTGACATGAAAAGGTTTTGATATTTGATATTCTCTTTTGACTTATTGCCTATTTGGAGAACAAAAAGGTTGTATATTTTTAAACGGAATGTAATATTGCACAAATGGAAACATTTTGGTAAAAAAAACTTAACATAGACTCTGTAACCCTTTCCAAACAAGTATATCTCTCAGTTTTTCCCTCTCTTTTGGTGTTTACCTGCATAGGTTTTGTGGTGGAAGAGTTCAATATGCGGCACATGCAAATTCAACAGGACTCCTCCAAAAACTGAATTCATGATGATCTGAGCATCATGAATTCATGACCGGAGTTTACTTTTAATAATGTGCCTGAGCAACTGATAGATAAAGTTATAGTTTGTTCTTCACATTTCATAATGGACTGAATTGTGAATTACTCTAAACATGCTAAGCACATTTAATTTTAACCTTACATTGTGTTTTAATGAGCGTCAAACCAGTGGTTAATGCTGTTAAGACATCAAGTGCATCGTTCTTTGAGTGTTGCTAATAAAATCATGCAGAGTCATTTAGAACACAATGGGTAATACAAGCACATTTAAAACTGTATACAGAAAAAAAAAAGATTAAAAAAAGGGGTTCATCTGTAGTTGATACAATGTTGAAATGTTGAAAAAAAAACTTCTTAAAATGGAATTTTTGTAAGCCCAGTGGTCAAATGTTACATGGCCTCTCAATTTTCTGTGTTATTAAAGCCATCTAATTCTTTGTCTGATCTGGAAACTGGAAGGCGTGTATATAAGCGGTAGGCTATTTTAAAAAGGAAAATTTAAAAGGTGAAAATGAATTATAGAGAATCCATACATTTATTCCCACTGTGTTAATAATATGTGGTCATGTAATCAATCAAGTAACTGTAGTCTGAATATGAGTATATTAATATAATCGAATTACAAGTACTTATTTTTTTTGGAATTTGATTACATACAGTAATTACATAAAGTTACTATCCGAGACTGCATATCTCTATCACAGTATCAAAACATGACATGCTGTAAAGGAGGGCATGGATACAGTGCAACGAAGTTAGCCAATCTCAGCAGTGGGTGTCTACTTCTGTTTCTACAAAAAGTAATTGTTTCTTTACCTTTACTTCGCAAACTTTATGAACTACCCCTGAGAAACAGTATATACAAATCTAAAACTGCATTTCATGACTCACAGTTATTCAACACAGTTTTGTTGTTTGTTTATAAATATTACTTAAAAAATAAGGAACTGTAAATGTTATTTGAAGTCAGAACTGTAAAGTATAATGAAGTATACCCTTTAGTCAAAACTCTTACAGTTCATTATATTGCAAATGGACACTTGAAACTAATTTAAGAAGATTTGAAAGAACTTAATCTCCCAGACAAATATCTCAAAGCCATTTTAATTCATAGAAACATAACAATTCAAGGTTAACAGCGTGTGTTCAAGGTTAACACTTCCTTGTTACAACTCCAGAGACGACGGCACGGCTTTCTTCTTAAAAAAACGTTCTCAGCTCTGTGTATCAATAGGCAGGAGACGCTATCATACATCACAGTTTGACACCTTAAATAAATGTCATTTTGACACATAAATGTCTTCCCTTTAGGTAGTTACGCACTGTCATTTTCCACGTCGCCGCATAAAACAAAGTATCCTCAGAATTTAACTTCTGGGAATACAGAAATACACACTGCTTATATCCAATTTTTATATCCGACTTCATTTCTTCTCTTCTGTCCTTTTTCTTCAAGTTCAGTTCAATGAGGAATCAAACAAAAAAAAAAAGTCTAAATAAAAAAAGGACTTCAGAGAATGTGCAGAGAAAGTCTTGCTTCCCTTAGGAGCCGCAATTGAAATAATCAACCGGTAGGTCCAAGCCTTTGAACAATGTAACCCATAAAACTCCAGCCACATTTCTCACGAGTCTAGGACTCGATTGAAGTCTTTGTCTTCTGATACTGTTCCAGGTCTTTTTTCTTCTTCATGGCAAGCTGTAGTTGCTTTTTGATGAGCTGGATTTGTGTTTCCAGGTCTGTCAGTTCCTGTACTATGGGGTTCTGGGAAAGGTCCAGCAAGTCGGTTCTTCCGTTCGATGTGGTCTGTAAGGGAAGCTGTCTCTTGTCCTGTGGGGACAGCAGCTCTTTACAGTGAGAACATTCCAGGTCATTTTGTTGTCCCTCTTGACTGGACAGTTTTCGTCTGTTGCAGTTGGAGGTTCCCAAAGAGTTCCACGGCATTTGCTGGTTGTTTCCAACATTGCAGCTTAATCGGGACAAGAACGATACCACATTATCAGTATATAAACAGCATTTTAAGAAGTATGCCATGAAAAGTTATAGTTCTGTCATGACAACTCTCGGAGGGATTGGCATGGTAATGTACATGACAATGTTAATGTATTTGGTCTTGGCGGAATAGATCTGCTACGCTGCAGTACCGAGCAAGTACCGAGACTTGCTACTGCCAATACATCCACAACATGCTGCTGTGAGCATGTAAGAAATATGTTCTAGTTGTAATGAAAAACATTGTTTATAAGGACTTTATTCTGTACAATACAAAAAGAGAATTTTTGACTGGTCTTTCCATGCATATGCAACAAAACTGATCTGTTTTTATTTGTTTATACCAAGTGTTCTGAAGCCATATAATAGCTTAAAATCTTCACATCTAACCAAGATTTCCTTGGCATGTTCCTGAGAGATGCAGCCGTCATGAATGATGTGTTCTTGTAAGTCAAATCTTAAATTAACTGCCTGATCTGTTTCACAAAACTAGTCTGACAAAGATCAACAAATAATGACTTTAAAAGACGTGCTACTTTTATGGTGATTGATGTCATTTTTGAAGCTTGAAAGTTTCTGTTCATTGTAATTGCATGAAAAATAGCAGCAAGTTTATTTTTAATTAAACTAAAGCTGAAATAAAATATCAATATCAATAGCAAAACATTAGATTAAATACTTAAACTTAAAAAAAAAACTACATATATTTTAGAAATGTAGCCTAAGCTGAAGTTCTTCAATTATTAAAACCAAAACTGAAATAAAAAATAAAGCTAAATAGGAATAAAACTGAAAACAAAATCTAATAAAAATGATAAAAACGCATAACATATTGCAAGAATTGCTAAAGCTAAAATTAGCATAAAAATAAAAAGCTAATTGAAAATATTACTAAATTCTTAATAATGAATAATAATATATAAATAACACTGAAATAGCACTGATTGTTTAGAGTGGCATGAGGGTAAGTACAGTAAATTATGACAATTCTCATTTTTAAATTAAAATATTGCTTTAAAGATATCTTTAATTACTAATAATATATCAGAAGCAAACAGTACTTTAAAGAAAATATAGTTATAAGTAAAGCATATTAAAGGACTTACAACAAAATACTGGTAAAGCTTGTAAGATAATCTTTATTTTGTTTGATTCATATGATGTCAGAAAGATCAATCCATTTAAATTTCACTTTTTATAATGCTTTGAAATAGCAAAGTTTCCTGAGAATGGCACTACTTTAGCACTTCCATGTTGCTTTAATGCTAGACATTATTGAAAAGCTCATTTGTTATGAAAGCAGTTTACCTTTTCTCCGGTGTTGCAACCGTCTGTAATTTGTCTTCTTTGAAAGTCGGGTTAAGTGCTCGATGTAATCGCTGAAAAAAAAATTAAATTAAGTGTTGTTAAAGAAAAGTGGCGTTGAGAATTACAAAGTGAGTAATGAGCAAAGCTTTCCTTTAATGCTACAACGAGTCACCAAGATGACATGCAATTATGTGTAATATAACCAGCGTGGAATTGCGCAAATGAACTTACTTGACTGGTGTGAAGCCAGTATTTATGCTGTGATGACTGCTGCATTCTGGGTATCAGCCAGCGATGGACGATGTGTTCACCCAGTGTGGTGAGCAGAGACAGGGCCACTCCAACGCACAGCATGACAAATAACCCTGAGAAGTGCTTTATCCCCATCTGTAACGTCTGAGGATGACAACAGAAAGGCAAGGTTAGAAAAGAGGAATTAAATTTTGTCAGTATTTAGTTCCATAAAACTCCGTATGTGACCCTGGACCACAAAACCGGTCATAAGGGTCGAAATTAAGATTTATATATCATCTAAAAGCTGAATAAATAAGCTTTACATTGATGTATGGTTTGTTAGGATCGGACAATATTTGGCCGAGATACAACTATTTGAAAATCTGGAATCTGAGGGTGCAAAAAAATCAGAATATTGAGAAAATAGTCTTTAAAGTTGTCCAAATGAAGTTCTTAGCAATGCATATTACTAATCAAAAATTACGTTTTAATATATTTACAGTAGCACTTTACAAAATATCTTCATGGAACATGATCTTTACTTAATATCCTAATGATTTTTGGCATAAAAGAAAAATCAATAATTTTGACCCATACAATGTATTTTTTGGCTATTGCTACAAATATACCCAAGCGACTTAAGACTGGTTTTGTGCTCCAGGGTCACATATTGTTTAGCTTATTCTGTAAGACACAAAATGAGATGTCTATATAAGTAGACATTTTTAAAGGCAAAGAAAGATTGAAGGGGTCATTTGATGTGATTTCAATTTTTCCTTTCTCTTTGGAGTGTTACAAGCTCTTGGTGCATAAAGAAGATCTGTAAAGTTG